ATGAGAAGGTAGAGTGTGTATATGGATAATCAGGTGTTAGGAAGTATAATCCTTGGCATTAAAATTGTTATACAATCTCAAGGATTACACTATCATTGTCATAACTATCATTACCACCTTCATCGTTCATATCCTCATCATAAATAAATGTGTAGTGCTTCCTATGTGCCAGTAATGTGATTTTTTTTTCCTTTAAATTAACTAACTTTATCATCATCAAAGACTGAGAATATAGGCAGCAATAATTTTCCTTTTACTTATGAAGGACTGAGAGATATTATGTAATTTGTGTCCAAGTTAAATTATCTAAAAGGGGCAGTGTCAACATGGAACAGATCCAGAATATATTGTCTTCCTTTTTTAATTATCCATGATTTAGGCATCTCCGTTGTTGCTATTAATATTTTGTATTAGTGTTTAGTTTTTGTTTTATTTTTTGGGTGCTCATTTGAAGATTGTCCTGGTTGAAATATTGTTTAATCAAGCGTACACTATTTGATTATCATTTCGGAGTTCAGGAGTTCAGTATGGCATTTTAACCATAAATTCTAGCTATGACTTAAACAATATTTGCCTCTCTAAAACTAAGCAACAATCTCACATCTATAGTAATTTATGTGATCTTCAAACATTACTGTAAGTAGAAGACTTGCATATTCATGATTGTCAGAAACCTAGGTCAGTAACCATATCGCACTTTCATAAGCCTAAAAACATTTATTTTATCCAACTATTGATTCATGATTATTTTCTCTTCTCCCTCTCATTCATCAATCTACTGATAAGTGTTTTCTACTTCGTCCCACCTTCCAAGGAATAGATATGAACTATAAAATTTTAGAGATTTACACACACATAAAGTTAGGGAGGGAGTAAAACCTGTTACTCTTTTTTTAATCTCACTTTTGGGTTGAAACTAAAAAAGCCCATTATCTAATGAACTTAGTTTTTAAAGAAGTTTTATATATATATACACACACACTCAAATCACTGTAATTTATGAAGCTCAATTATAATTCCTGTTGAATAAACCATAGGTGATTATATTCATGAGTAAGGCTGATTTTTTTCCTGGAATTCAAAAAAAGGTATTCAAGAAACGAAGTCACTTAGCAAAATTAGTTTGGATAACTTTTTGATATTTACTTTTTGAACTAGTTTCCATATTTCATTGTTCTGTATGAATTTGCTTTTTGGAAGTAAAATACCTACCCTCCCACTAAGTGGGAGGTGACACTTAAGGCCTTGCCACAGTCTCTTAGATAAGAAAATCTGATTAATGAGACACATGAAAAATTTCTTCTGCCAGTGGAGCAGACTGTGACAGCAACGAGCTATTCTCCGTGTTGAGTGAGCCTGAGTGTGCTAAACACACGTTAAGTGTGGCTGGAGTGCAGTGAGATCCTCTGATGGAAGCAAGGTATTAAGCTCCACTGCTTAATACATCACAGGACTGGAGCTAACAGATGACTTGATTTCATCAACTAAACTGGTAGATTAAACGACAAAAACTTTCTGGGAAAATAAGTGGATGGGAAGAGATAAATACTAAAATTTTATTAATAGGCCACAAAGTCTTCACTCTCTCTCTCTCTCTCTCTCTCTCTCTCTCTCTCTCAATGCCTCCACACATCAGATGGAATCTGACATAAGAATATTATGATTTCAGATTTCAGAACACCTCCCATCAGTCGGAGCTGACAGTGCTATGTTTCAGGCCTGGATGTTCCCCCAAAGCCTCATGCAGTCATATGGCTTTTTCAGAGATGTCAGAATCTAGAATGTGTGATGCTGGGATTTAGGACATGTTATTTCTAACATGGTTTGGCACCGCTCTGATCCTGGTAGTATGGATAAAATAAAAGGGACAGAAAGAGGCTTGTCTTCCCCTTGCTATTCTTGCTATTTTCCTCTGTCATCAACTTATTGTCCCCCTATAGTGTGTCAACCTGCCTTGACACCAGTAGATTATGGACTGAAACCTCTACAAACTATGAGCTAAATAAACATTTCCCTCTTTTACTTTGGGTGTCATATATTTTTGTCTCAGCAATGACAAAGATATCTAAGACAGCACATAGCATTGAAATATATCTGAAACATGGATGAATAAATATTTAGATTATTTGCAAACTTGTTTTTGATAAGTACACTCTGCATGCTGAAAGAAGATGATTTCCACAGACCAGTCATATTTCAGAGTGCCTGCCCTTTAGACTTGGAGATATTGACCACATTGGAACACCTGTGTGTAGAGAAAGTGGGAAAGGGAGAGAGAGAGGAATGCAAGAGACACAACAAAATGAAAGGGAAGAGGAGACGGAGAAATTGTGTGGTCTCTGAGGATAAAAAAGAGTAATCCTCAGAGCTTGAAGACAACAGGTGAAAGTCCTCAGGTCTTGGGAATAATTTTTGTCTCTTAGTTTACTCATCCACTTAATGAGCTAATATCTTTTCTAAGTAGGAGTGCTTCATGTAGGAGGCTTCATTTTGCAAAATTAAGCATGAAAGTATGGACAGAAAACCCAAGAACCCCTGTAAAATTGTAGAATTCTCAAAGTCCCTTTTTTCATAATTATTCTCTTGCGTGATCTTTTTCAAGTTTATTTCCAAGCAAGATGTGTCACCTGTAAACATCATGTGCTCTCCTATGTCATGTATTTCCTTATTTAATATACTCTGTTACTCCACTTTTTCCATCCCTCACAGGCAATGCTGCATAGGCAATTTCTACCTCCTCTAGATATTCATGTAAGTTTTGAATGTATTGATTGACATTAATCTCATTGATAACTTTGAAGCAGGTATCTTCCATCTGTGTTTTCATGAACTATTCATCAGTAGAGAGTCTTAACATATTTGGTGGCTCTGTAGGACCTGCATTATTTTGGCATTGATTCTTTCAATCAAAATGTTACTATCTCCATCCAAAATGCATTATTTGTTTAATATTTAATTTCTTATATCAAAAGTAAAATTTATTTTACCAAAAGTATAACTACCAAATAAGGCATATGATCTCTTATCTCTCTTCTAAATTCTATACACTAATATCAGAGCTTTACTAGAGCTTTGTGGTATACTAAGATTTATTATCTAAATATCAACTATATATTTATAATTAATTGGCAATAGATATACACAAGCATGCCATGCAGTAGCCTTATGATTCCTTACAAACTTCACGCACTATAATTCAATTTAGTAATTTGGATGTAATCTAAATATGGACAATCCGTAAATGTTAAGGACATCTGTGGTAGCTTAAAATAATCAACAGTGAGAACATATTCTGTCCAGGGTAGACAAAGATGTAACTAAAAAGAAAATGTCAGTTTTATCACATTAAAATACAGCCATGCTATCATTTTTATAAAACTCTTTACAAACTAACTTTCAGTAATTCAGTACATTTTATAATAGTTTATATTCCAAATGATGAATGCTACTTATAAAATGAAGAATACAATTATGTTATTTGATCTGAAAGCATTGATAGCTATTGGATGTTAGTTTTATGTGTATGTTTGCATTTAATTTAATGAAAATTCATTCTTTTCTAACATAGGCACAAAGGATTGAATTGAATGGACAATGCTAATTTTAGAGTTAATTTGTAAAATAAATTTATAATGGAAAACGTACAACTTTTAACTTATTATGTGTGTATTTTTTTTCGAATGGTGAAGCCCTACCTTGATATGTAAGAGTTACTGATATATTTTTGCAATAACTTCACTTCTTGACTGATCTATCTTCCTCCTCCTCTATCCACTATTTATAGAAGTGGTAGTTATATTTTTTCCTAGTCTTCAACATTTTAGGCATAATATATTTTTATTTTCCAATCAGTATTTCCCAATGTTTTGTGTTACAATATATTCAAGATAAACATGAACATTTTAACTTTCTTAATCATAAAAATTCTGCTATGCATTTTCTATGGAGATACCTGCTCTCTAGGCCTTGAGGTAGAGAATTCATGCTTTATTACCTAATAGAAATGTGCAACCTCTATTCCCTTTTCATTTTCAAAGAATTTACCAATTGTAGTGAACAAAATGATAAAGTTTACAATAAATATCTTTTTCAAACATCCTGGTTATAGTTGACAGGTTATAATGAAATAATGTGATAATATTTTGATACTGTAGTTATGTAACAGTTGTCTTTTACCTAGAATGTTGTCCCAGCTGACCAAATTTTGTCTTAAATTAGGGTTTTAGGTTTTAATTACACTACAACAACTGTCCTGTGTAAATCAAAATTATGAATTGTGCTCAACTTCTTTCAAATGCAATGATATAAATAAAAAAGTAAAGCTACTTTACGAGATAGCCACTCCAGATAACCACTCTGATTTGTAAGTCTAAAATCATCTTATTTAGAAAAAGTAAATGTAAGTTAGGAATGCTTGAATTTATTTAGAATGACAAAATAATGGTCATGAAAATTATCACAGACCCATAGTATCAAACAACATGAAAAAATGCAAGAAATTTTAGGGGTATAAAAAGCTAATTAAAAAAAAAGCAAATGGCTCTTGGAACAAATAGTAATTGGAATTATAGCACACATGTGGGCACACACACACACATGCCAACCAACAAAAAAATAAAATCCTACAATAAATAAAATTATTTTTCTCCTTGATGATATGAAACAACTCAGTAGATTATCTGAATCAATACTTGCTTGGAAATAAATTCTGTCATCAAACCTAAATCCTTATTCTCTTTAATATTAAACAATAAGTTTCTAGAATTTGAACAACAAATTTTTGCTTCCAAACTGTTTGAGCTATATTTCTAGAAAATTTATTTTATTTTCATCTTAATATTATATTTCATATTAATTTAGCACTTCTGAATCAGGTATACCCTGAGAATATTTTTGACATACTCCATCCCCTCATTTAACTGTAGACACCTATTTATTTGACACATACGGATGCAAACAGCACACCCACTCTACGTAACATACAAAGCTGGAATTCTTACATGGTGAAAACGTCCAGGGTATCTCCAGCAGTTCTTGCCATTTCGAAGTAGGTCTGTAGAATGTTGACCGTCCCAGAGAGTGCTTCATGACCACAGCCACAGAACAGGGCAACACCCGCATAGAGCAGGATGGTGGCGATGAGAGAAGCGTAAGGAATCCCTCCCAGGCATTTAATACAGCATTCAAAACACCCTGTAGAAAAGCAATAGAAAGAGGTGAAAATTAAATAAAATTTCCAACTTGAGCACTGTGGGAAATTATATTTGCCTTGATACATCAGGTCAACCATATAAATCAAGTCCTAGGTCAACCATATAAATCATGTCTCCTGGAATGTATAAAGAATAAGTTCCTTCATTACAATCCATTCTTCAAAGACAGGAAAATGCTTACTACCATAGATGGCTTCCTCCTTAATCCCTCTAAACCCATAAAAGCTCTTCCATTCCAACATAGACTTCCAGTGATCAACGTCACCATGCATGCAAGTATCATTCAACCTAGTATTTATTGTTCTCAAATTTCACATGCTTGTATTTCAATTTTATCTGTTTTTTAACTCTTTTCTTTTTAAGGCAGGCTCTCACTATGTAGTTCAGACTGGCCTTGGACTCACTATGTAGCCCAAGCTGGCTTTGAACTCACAGTAATCATCTTGCCTCAGCCTCCCAAGTTCTGGAACTACAGACATGCACCATCATACCCAGCTGTTTTTTTTTTTAACTTTTAGTGGCTATATTCACTGAGTGGAAACCTGTTAGAGGATTGTAAACTTAACACAGAAATTTGAAAAGTGAAATAATAAAACAGACAGTATTTGAATTCATTGCATGTCATGAGTAAATTAATTTTGAGTTCTGTTCCTTACATATATTCTTTATGTAGTGACCTATCATGCAAAAGGTATTTATACCAAAAACATTAAACACAGTGGAAATAACACTTTTGACAAGATAGTCTGCATTGATTGATAGATTGTGGCTCCAGTCTTTAGCCAGAGAACTTTCCAGAACTATTAAAGAGATCCTGGGGTATGCCCACTCTGTGGACTGCAATGTGGATGGCCAGCACCCTCATGACATCATAGATGACATCAATACTAGTACTGTGGAATGTCCAGCTAGCTAAGAATAAAAAGTCTAAGAAAGAAAATATTTCAACAAAGAGATGATCTGAAAAATTGGTTTTCAAATAAATTAGTTTCAATGGCTTTCAAAAATCAAGACATGGGCACAATAGAAATAAGAGAGCAGACAAGAAAGAATCTTGCACTTATCAGTATGTGATGTGTAGAAAATTTATTATTTTAATATCATCTGTAAAAAATGAAAATAAGAGAATGTCCCTCCAATGGCTTGGGTGAAGATTAAATAATTTAATATATAAATCACTGCTTGACATAGAATAACTGCTAAATCCCTAGAATATTTTTTATATACTAATTAAATATTTTCAGAGTGTCTGTGTTTTGACTACAACCTACCACAGGAGATCAGATATATGATTTCCTATTTGTGGTTTTATATTGGGGTTCAAAAGTTTCACATTTTTGGAGCATTTGGGGTTTTCAAATGATGATTTCTTATATCTATGTAACAACATTTGAGGCATAAGTTAATTGCAAAGTTCCTGTGTGAAGTAACTTTATGTTCCAAGATTGAGCTCATCTTCTATTTTTCCTATTGCTCATTAGGCTGGCTTTTTTGAGAATTACAGCCCATCTCATCTGCTTTAGAGGAAGAGAGAGAGAGAGGAAAAAAAAATGATTCTGAATACCTCTCCATTTCCATAGCCGTTGCTTGTGAAAGCAAATCATTTCCTGAACATTCCTCCCCAGACGCACACAGTCACATAAAATCTGAGGAAGGAGAGAGATTAGAACAGCTTGAAGCTTCATCTAGGAGGAAGAAACCTCTCTCGCAGATGGCCGAGGCCAGTGTGTGCAGTATCTTAATGTCATTGAATACAGTTTCTGGTGGAGATGAACAGAGTGGCATACAAATCCATGGACTACTCTCTTTTAATGTTCTAAAATTCCCATGTCAGTAATTATTTTAAAATTGAAGAAAGCAGAGAGATAAAGTTGATACAAACCCAAAGAAGAGCTCCCTCTAATTTCAACAAGTGTACCTATCAGCCTCAAGGCTAATCCCATTACTGGGTGATTACTCTCTTTGCTATGCTCAAGGCATTGGATACGGCTTTGAAAGATTTTTACTTCAGACAATCTGAGGTATCAAACCCAGAACAACATGTTCAACAAAACCCTCAGAATAGATGTCTACAAGAAAGGACACTGAACAGCAAATGCTGAGGAATAACATTTGCTATGACCTAGAACATAAGGATGAAAACAGAAAGAGGCTAACTTATAAACAGACAAAATTATAAGCTCATGACTGGTCACAAAAATTGCCACTGAGGATCTCCGAATACTTTGATAACTAATTCTGAGCTGTTTGCTCTTAGTTGCCATGTTCTCCACAGTGCTTTGGATAACCCACACGAGCCTCCATGCTACACTGGGTACTCTTGAGGAGAGCTAGGAAGTCACAGTACTGGAGCACTAATTGCAATTTTAGTTGCATAGTAGCTTTCACATTTAGAAAGCTGCAAGATAAATTCCAGTATTAGAGTTAAACTCAAATTGATAGCTCCGCAGTAGTATACATTTCAAAATGATTATAAGGTCTCCAGACGAAGTGGAAATATTTCTTTTATTTCCTTTTTAAATTCTGCCATTTAAAGCTCTCAGAACTGTTATCTTTTTATTAACAATTCAAGTTCCACTATTAAGGTGAGGTCAGACTAGAACATTTCTAATTAAGATCAGAACCTCAGCAAAACATTTATTCCGAAAAGCTTTAAGAATCTCATCAGGCACATATTGCACTTGCAATCGGCTAATCATAATCACCCCCTCTCTTCCCATGAGGCGGAGTTCAGTTGCCTATTACATTTCAAAGAAATCTCTCAGAGCTCCCATATGGTGAAGCAGCGCATCATTTCAGTGTTCTCTCCAGCGGCCAGAATCCTACATAGCTGCTGGCAGGGGAGCCTCTTTCTACCCACAGTGAGAAACAGCCTTGGCAGAGCAGAAACGTCACCATGGCAACAGAGCCCCAGGCCAGGATTCGTTCTCAGCAATCACCCTTCAAGGCTATGCATGCATTCTGCGGGCGCCCATCACCGTGCTTTTACTGAGCCGAAAGTGAAAAAACGTTCTATTAAACAAATATTAATGAAGGTATAGTAAGTGGAGTGTTGGGCCTGGAGAAAATGTTTCTTAACAATACCTCTCTAAGACAATAAAGATTACAATGCACAGCAGAAATTTTCAATACTGGATATTATGAGGAGAGGGCCATTAACTCTCAAATAAAGCTGAGGTTCATATATTAACAGAGAATTTTCATGCTGTAATCACATATGCACAAAGAAAAGTTTCTTATGTCCATTTCTGTTATTATATGCTACCTTAAATGAAAAAAACACTATGCCATTAGCTTTTAGATGAAAATAAGTATTGAAAGAATTATGCTTTTCCTTTGAAAATTATGCTTTTCTTTTGTTGTCTTTTGAACATTAGCATTTCCCCAGTACTTATTAAGGTTATAAATTAAATAAATATTTCAGAGAAAATAGAAACTCCTGGCATATGCTGTCTTTAAAAAAAAGATGTATATTTATCTTCTCTATGAGATATATAAAAGATTTACCTCTTTCTGCATATTGTGAAATAAGCACAAGCCTTTGACTATGCTTACCTTCTCAAACCTCACCAAAATAAAAACAGGGAAAAGAACGCACACTTAGAACTAAAAACACATGGAAGATCGACAAGAAAAAAGGGCGACCAAAATTGTGGATGTGGTAGAAGAGATTGAGAAGTGAAGGTAACCAGCGACACTGAGGACAAATTGAAGGTTTATTTATTCACTGATAGACTTTTCCTAGTAACGTTTACCTATCTGTACCGAAAAGGTTAATTTAGTCATTATCAAGTATCTAGAGAGGTCTGTGTGTTCTAAGCAGTTCCGTTACTCTATCTGTGTATCTTTGTTCCAACACCACCTCTCACATATCATATCATATCACAATTCCAATTTATGAAAAATCACACATTTTTCTTATGTTTGTCATGGCTATTCACGGCATACTTACTTTACAAATTTCAAAATACTTTATCTGATTACATAAATTAATTTGTGAGGATTTTGATTTGTATTTTTGTATAGATTTTGTATCTACAAAATTTAAAATTATTTTGTTGGTTCTGTGATTATTTTGATTTTGTGAATTATTTTGAATTTATATTGATAATCACTATCTGAAAATTTTGAGGTCCATTTTTTCAACAGTTGTAGCTTTTCATTTATTTTTCATCATTTTATTCTATCAAAATGCAATGAGAAAAAGCATGATTTTTGTTCATGATATTAAAGAAAATATTTGTTAGCTTTATGTTAGTTTGCTGGCTAAAGCAGATTTTTTTGCTTTGAATTCTGTAACATGGTTTGATATTATTGGGTGAAAATTTTTATATTTCTTTCCCTTTTATCTGCCACTTCAATAATTTTTTCTAAGTTAAATTTGCATTCCTAAAAAGAAAACAGTATACATAACATGCTGTATATTTACTACATCACTGAAATTGTCATGCTAACATTTTTGGAGGGGTGGTTACTGGGAGTCCATTCCAACATCATTATAGAGCTATACATCTCCAACCCTATTTTTCATTTTTCTTTTGAGACAGTTGCTAAGTTGCTAAATTGCCCAACCTGGGTTCCAATTTATGATCCTTCTCCTCAGCCTCCCCACAGCCTTAGATAACAGGTATATGAACTATTAATTCTAAACTTTCCATTCATTGGTTTATTCCACCTTTACTTGAGTACTCACACAGGTATCAAGAACTGTGTTAATTGTTCGAGCTGCAGAAATAAAATCAACATAAATCCTGCTCTGATTGTAGAAGAAAGAGATAGAAAATCAACAAGACACTAAAATAACAATTTGTGATCGTTAGAAGTGCCAAGAAAAACCTAAATAGAGAAACGTGATGAAGACTACTGGGATAATGGATTCAGTTCCTGATAAAATGGCCAGGGAAGGAATAACTGTGGTGGTAATTGCCCCAAAAAAAGTCTGAATGAAAAATGAGCCATTCAAATTTTATTAAGTAAAAT